GGCGCCGGGCCCATGCGCACCGCCCCGCCCGGTGCTCCCGGACCCAGCGCGGCCCCGGGCGCGGCCCCGGCGCCGCCGCCGCTCGCAGGCCCCGACTGGAACCCGGCCCGCGCCGCCATCTTGTCTCGCACAAAGGGAGCGGAACCGGAAACGGCCCCGGACGGCGCGCGGAGCGCGGGGAGGAGCCGCCCACGGCCGCCGCCCGCGGCGCTCCCTGCCGGAGGGGAGGACCGAGCGGCGGGGGTTGGGGGTGCGGGGAAGGGATCGGGGACCTTGTGAGGTGGGATTGGGGTGTAGGGTCCTGGGGGTCAGGGAAGGGAACGGGGACCTTGAGGGGCGGGATTGGGGATGCAGGGTCTGAGGGATCAGGGGTGGGATCGGGGACCTTGTGGGGTGGGATTGGGATGCGGCATGGTTCCAAACTCTGGGAAGTGTTGGGGGTTTCAGCCCCCGCTCCCCGGCCGTGATTACAGCCCCGTTCCCTGGTGCTGGAGCCTCCCTTGCTCGGGGATGTGCTCGGAGGGAGGTGGATGTGCCTTTCCCAGGGATGGCATGTGCAGGTGGGGCAGTGACACCCCTCACCTGAGCTGCCCTCCGGAATTCAGGAGGAATTTCTCCATGAAAAGGGGGGTGAGGGGCTGCCCTGGGAGGTGGTGGAGTCGCCATCCCTGGAGATGTCCAGGGAACAGCTGGACGTGGCACTCAGTGCTCTGGTGGGGATCACTCCCAGTTTGGACTCGGTGATCCTTTCCAGCCTCAGAGATTCTGGGATCTTAGGGATGAAGTTTATGAGGCAAACAAATGGCCATGAATGGGCCCGGTTTGTGCAGGTTCAGGCAGAGCACCAGGAAAAGGATTCCTGTCTCCCCTGGGCTTCCTCAGAGAGCAGGAGGCTGGAGTTAAAGGCCACTTTCTGCAAGTATTAACATTAAGTTCCTTCTCCCTGAAGCAGTTTCCTGTGCTCAGAGAGAAGGGGGACACAAACCCAGTCAGCATTAATCCACGGAAAAAGCCACGTGCGCAGTCACACCACGAGTATTAATTAAACAATTAATGATGATCATCTGATGAGCGCTGCCTCCAGCCTGGGGGTCCCAGCACAGGGAGGATGAGGGGCTGCTGGAGTGAGTCCAGGATGATCCGAGGGATGGAGCAGCTCTGCTGGGAGGAAAGGCTGGGAGAATTGGGGTTATTCAGCCTGGAAAGGCTCGGGGTGACCTCATTGTGCCCTTCCTCCTTTCTCCTGCCCCGAGGGTTTGGTGGAACAGCTTTGGAAATGCCTGCTCTGCACCTGCTGGTGGCTCCATGGAAACTTTGGTGCCCAGCCAGCCTGGCTCTGGCTGCAGGACAGCAGGACAGCAGCACCGGGGGCTGTGGCATTGTCCCTCAGCGCCTGTTGCCACCGGCAGCCAGCGAGGGGGGACTGGGAATTCTGACCCACCAGGGGAGCTGCTGGAATCTCGGCATCTCCACAGAGCCTGAGCGGGCTGGGTGTCTCCATGGGCTGAGGCTGCCTGGATCCTGATTGGGGTGAGGCTGCCTGGATCCTGAATGGGCTGAGGCTGCCTGGATCCCGATCAGGGTGAGGCTCCCTGGATCCTGAGCAGGGAGAGGATCCCTGGATCCTGATCAGGGTGAGGCTGCCTGGATCCTGATCCCCTGGATCCCGATCAGGATGAGGCTGCCTGGATCCCGATCAGGGTGAGGCTGCCTGGATCCCAAACAGCTTCAGATCCTGAGCAGAGGATCCTGAACGGTGCAGGTGCCCAGGTCCCACAGCCTGGAGCTGCATCCCCACCCGGCTGACGTTCCCAGCCCACTCCTGATGCCCCGATGGACACGATGGAGGCTTGTGCCTGGACAGAGCAGCTTCTGCACATCCCACCAGTCCCGGCCGGATTCCAGGGGAATGGCAGGGCTGTGCTGCCCCTGGGGCTCCGAGAACTCCCCGGAGCCCCGGAGAGCCACGCTGTGACAGATGGCCGGGGTGAGCTGCTCCCAGCCCAGCCAGCAGGTCCTGCGGGGGATTACAGCCCCAGCAGCCGGGAGGGAGCGGCAGGGCTCGGCTGTGATTAACGGGGTTCATTAACGCCCTCCTGGCCCGGCCTTCTCCTTCCAATCCCACCCCTGGCCTTTGCAGCTCCAGCTCCGGCCGGGAAGAGCCAGAGCGGGGTGAGAGAGCTCTCGTTGAGATGCAAAACTGCATTTCTGCCATTTCCAGGAGCCAGGGGACGTGGTCGGAGCCAGGGGAGCGGGGGAGGGTGGGTGTGGGTGTGCGTTGGCATTTCAGCGTTCCCTGCCCACTCCCACTCCCTATTATTCAGTCTCCATGGAGTCCTGAGGGCTTTTTTTGGATGCCCACTGTTGGAACTGCTCTGTTGTTACTATTGCTCTTTGTAGCTGGGAATTTTTAGGACAAAAGGTGTGTGTTATATTTGGGTTGTGCTCCCAGGGTGAAATTCCACCTGGTGACTCCTGTCGGACCTCAGGTGGGTCCCAAAGCACGGGGGCGCTGGAGCTGTCAGGGATTAACAGCTCTGTGAGTGTTAATTCTCCTTTCCCTGCTGGGAGCAGGAATCCCCTCCCTCCTCCAGCCCTGTGTTCCTTGGGAAGGCAGCGAGGCTGGAGCTGGATGAGGCACCGGAGGGGAGCTCAGCTCAGCCTCAGCTCTGACCCAGGGCACACCCTGCTCATGAAGTCTTTTTCTTCCCCTTCCCTTTCCCTTTTTTTTTTCCCCCTTCCCTTTCGGCTCCATCCCAGGATAAGGCTGTCCCCACCTGCCTCCTCAGGGGAGCATTTCCAGCAGCTCAGCGAGAGAGAAAGGCTCGGCGTGGGGGAGTTATATCATTTATATCATTCTTTATATCATCGTTGTTAAGAGTAGCAGGTATTGATGTACAATGCATCTGTCATCTTATTGTGCTTCCTATGAAAATGTGTGTACATAGTACAGATACCGGAGAGAATTCCACACTTTATACACTTGAAGGCATTCAGAGATCAGTAACAGAAAAAAAAAATGGCACAAGAACAAGGCCTAAATGCTACTGGATGGGTATCTACACTGGCATGATGCATATAGATATATATATATATGTACACATATATATATAGTCATATATATTATATATAAGAAATATAAAATGCCGATGACATAACAAAAAAGCGTTTTCTTCAACAGGTGAGCCTCAAGGTCAAATCCCAGCCCCATCTTTAAAAGCTTGAATGGGAAAGAGAAGGAAAGAAAATAAATAAATGAAATGTGATGAAACATTAGGAGAAATCCATAAGAAAATTTATGGATGTGGCTGACCCGTCGTCTTTGGGTGATCGCTGGATACAAAGGACTGACCCCCAGTTCCTAATTTTGGTCAGGAAGCAAATAATAAGAATAAAAATGACAAGAATAAAAATCAAAACTGCAGTTTAGAAAAAAAAAAATTACTAAAAAGACTTATTGCAAAAGCTCTTAAAGATAAGTAGCACTTGGGCCCGGGGAGGGCTCTGGCCTGGGGGCTGAGAGACGGGCTGGGGGGACCAGATGGGGACCCCAGAGGGGACTGGTGGGCACTGACAGGCTCGGGGGGCAGTGGCCCAGTGGCCACGGACCACAGCCAGGGCAGGGCTGTGCCAGGGAGGGGCAGCAGAGGCCCTGGGACCCCACAGACACCCCAAACCCCCCGGGGCAGCGGCTGTCGGGGCTCAGCGGGGCTGGAGCCCCTGAGCCCCCCGTGAACCCCAGGGGTGTTGGGGCTCCGGTGCCTGCCCAGCCACGGTGGTGCCAAGGGGACAAAAGGGGCCAGGGGCTTCCTCGTGCCCCTCTCCCCGAGGATGGCTGGGTCTGGGGCCACAGGGCTCCCTGCGGACGGGAGGGACCGCGGGGCAGTGCTGGAGCTGGCCAGGCTGCCCAGAGCCCAGCAGGGGCGGGCAGGGAGGGACAGTGCCCGGTGTCCTCAGAGCCGAGGTGGCACCTCCCAGCTGAGCCCCCTCCGGTGCTCCCGGGGCTGATCCCCGGGCTGATCCCCGGGCTGATGCCGGGGCAGGGGCCAAGGAAGACGTTCAGGACAGGTGGAGGTGCCGCGTCTTCGTGCCGGGAGCGCCCGGGTGAGCCGGGGCTGTGGTCCCAGGGGACTGAGGCGCTCTCCGGGGACTCCCAGCCCGCTGCCCTGTACCGGGCACACCGGGGGCTCCCCGATGAGCCCCCACCAGGCACAGGGGGCCCGGCAGGCACGGCAAAGGCGTTGGAGTAGGATGAGCATGGAGACGACGGAGGACAGACGGACAGGGCTGTGGATGGAGACTGCGGCCGAACGGCTGCTTCTTCTTGGCTTCTGGGTTTTAGTTAAAAAGGCCGAGGGGAGCCAAGGGGGAGCCGGGGCAGGCCCGTGCCCTGGCCCACTGTGCGTGTCGCTCCCGCTCCGCGGGACGGCCGGGCTGGAGCATCCTGGAGTCTCTGAAGGAGCAGGGCAGGCGCAGAGCAACCGCCGCGGGGGCTGCGCCGGGGTCTGGCAATGCCCGACCCCACTGCCCGCCCCGAAATCCGAGGCCGTCGCTCTTGTCCGTGTCCCACCGTGCCGAGGAGCAAAGGCCCCCTAGATGTGTCTCTCCGCTGGCGCTGGCGGGGAGAAGGGCAGCTCTCGCAGGGCTTTGGTAGCTCAGGTTGTACATCCAGACGTCGGTTAGCAGGTGAAGTCCTCAAAGGTGCCCCGGGCCGGGTGGTGAGGTAGGATGTTGGCTGCGTACGTCATGCCTGCTGGGTGCCCCCGTATGCTTTCACAGGGATTCTGCGGGATAAACGGGATGCTGGAGCCGCTGCTTTCATCCAGGTCCTTGCAGAGACCCAGCGCCATCCCCCCACAGCATCTCTGCCTGGGCCTTCTGCTCCTTTCCCAGGGGTTCCCCAAAACTGTGACTCCCCACCCCCCAAGCTGCAGGAGGGGACAAGCAGGATGGGACAGGCAGGAGGGGACAGGCAGGCGGGGACAGGGACAGGTAGGAGGGGACCGTGCTGTGCCCCACACTCACGTGGCGCTTCACGTCGTCCATGCTCAGCGCGACGCCCTTGTCTGTGTTGTTCCTCTTGTGGTTCTTGCGGCACTTGCCTCGCCGGCACAGCCGGTGCTTTATCACCTGCCAGAGCCATGTTTCAGCGCCGTGGGGCTCACGGGTGGCCCTTCCCCACGTCCCAGAGAGGCACAGCCTCGGGATGGAGGAGACACTCACCTCATAGGCGTAGTCAAACAGCTCCAGCACTGTGAGGATGCTGGCCCCAATGAACAGTCCCATCTGCCCTCCAATGTCACCTGCAGAAGAGAGGGAAACCATCAGGGTGGCCTGAGTCCAGAGTCGGGTGGCAGGGGGAGCAGAAAAAGGGCAGAATTTGTCACCACTGTGGCTGGTGCCCGCTCATGGCAGTGGGGTGCCCTGCTCCACATCTGAGCTCTTGGCACGTCCCAGTGCCTTGGGAACAGGCCATGGTGACAGGGCCAGCACGAGGCCACCTCACTGGGGGACTCTGCCTGGGGACTGCCCCAGGGCTCCCCACAGCCACCAACACTCACCCAGCAAACCTGCCACCTCGTACGCCTTCTTCTGCTCGATCGTCTCATAGTTCAGGGCTTCAAAGAAGATATCCAGCACCAGGATGTTCTCCCTGTGCAGGAGAGAAGTGGCATCAGGCTGAGGTTTGGGATGGAGGGACCAGACCCTGCCCCACCACCACGGTGCCTTACCCGATGTACTGCTCCGACTTGTTGTACTTCTTGGCCAGGTACTTGGCCGAGGCCTTGCTGGGGATCTTGACCATGGAGAGCTCTTTGCCGTAGCGGGTCATGTTGCAGGGCATCTCACAGATGCAGTACTCATTGTCCTTCTCAACCAGGAAATCTGTGCAGGGAGAGAGGGGAGATGAAGAAACCCAACACCGCATCTCCGTCCCACCCACGGGGCCGGGCAGCCTCACCTAAGGCCGGATCCGCGCACTCCTTGTACTGCTCCGGGGTGCAGTAAGGGGCATCGCCTGGGGAGACACAGAGCAGGTGTTCCAGGTGGGACCACACTGGGGGCTGGGCCGGGGCCAGGCCAGGCACGGGGCTCACCTGGCATGTGCACCATGCGGCAGTTGCAGTTCTCCACCAGGTAGCGGGTCTCGCAGTCGATCCGACACGCCGTGATGCTGTAGGTGTCGTAGAACTCCGAGTCGCCCGCCACGGCCTTGCAGTCGCCCCAGGGAGGCGGCAGGTAGATGAGCTGGAAGGGGAGAGAAGCCAGGAGTGAGGAGAGGGTCCACAGGATGGAGTCCTCCCCTCCATCCAGCGTGAGGACGGGGCACAGCGAGGAGGCTCTGCTCCCCCAGCGCAGGGTGGGAGGGGACATCCCACACCTGCCCCGTTCCTACCCGCTGCTCCTGGCAGGACACAAAAGTCTGGAAGCCGGGAGCCACCCCGAAGCCCAGCTGGTCGATCAGAGGGGGCTCGTCCTGGCTGTGGATCTGCACCTTGATCCCGGCTTCGAACGAGGTCTCATCTGTGGCAGAGAGAAGTGGGGTGAGCACAGCGCTGTCCCTGCTCCGAGGGGCTGTGCTGAGCCTGCTGTGAGAGGGACCACAACTCCTTCCTCCCACGCTTCCCCTGGGCCAAGTCATTCATCCACGTGTCCATCCATCTGTCCATCTGTTTGCTGCACCACGTCCTTGCCCCCTCCAGCCCGACCCCCCTGCTCCACACCCAGGAATGTGGCAGGGAAAGTATTTGACTCTATTTATAAACAAGTGATGGCTGCGTGTCTAAACGATGGGGAGTTGCCATGGCAAAGAGCAAAGACAAGGAGGAAAAGGGAAAGAAAAGACCAGAAGTGATGAGAAATGGAAAGAGGGAAGAGAAGGGAGCCCAGGGATGTGGATCTGTGGTCTGGGGAGCTGGGAAGGGGCTGGGAAGATGAGTAGGGACTGGGCAGCACCCCAGGAGCTGCTGGTGACTGAGTGGGCCTGCTGGAGCAGTGGGTTACCTGTTTCCCCCCACACTGGCAGGTACTCGTCCTGCTGGATGTCCAGCATGATCTCCAGGCCGTTGCCAGTGCCCCCCTTCATGGTGATGAGCCGGGGCTTCCCGTCCTGCCCCGCATTGAAGGTGTAGCACTTCCCATAGCGGGTAAAGACCTGCAGGAGAGGACACGGGGCTGAGGCTGAGGCCCCTCTGTGTGCAGACACAGCACGGAGGCAGGAGAGCATCCCCAGCCCCAAAACTCAGCCATCCCAGCCTGGGCATGGTCCAACCTGGGCTCCTGACCCACGGGATCTCTCAGTGTTGGAACTGCCCATCCTGGCCCTGGTAGAGGAGGAGATGTTCCCACAGGGATGGGCTCAGAGGAGACTCTGCAGATTTACAGCCCCAGAGAGCCCACGGCAGCTGTGGCTCCCCAAGGTGGTGGCACTCAGCCTGATGCCTGCACCGGCGCCTCCTCCAAGCCCTCCTCCATCCCTGCAGAGGACGGGGCTGGACGGGATCCTGGACCCCCCCATCCCTCCTTGGCCGTTCCAGCTCTCGCCTCCGGCAGCCGGCGCGGCCCCAAAACCACGGAGCTGCTGCCAGCCTGGGCAAGGGGCACGTGAGGGCAGTGGGCTCACACCACATGGTGCCCCACAAACCCTGATGGCACCAGGATAGAGGTGCCAGGCACCTCCTCAGCAAGCACAGCCCCGCGGATACGCTCCGTGTCCCACCAGAGCGTCTCCACAGCCAGTGCTGTCCCTAGCTCCGGCAGATGGGGCTGAATATCAGCCTGTCCCCGAGCAAGCTCCAAGGGCAGCATCACCTGCCGTGCCTGATCCGATCGGCCCCGGAGCTGCTCCCCGTGCCGGGCCATCCTGGGGCTACTCACCGGCGCAAAGTCCCCGGGGCCGCAGCGCTGGCCGCGGTAGCTGCAGCTCAGCAGCATGTCCTCCAGCTGGTGGCAAGTACGGTTAAAAAACCCGTACAAATTTAGGGGCTCGTCCTCCTCCCAGGGGTCTGGCTGGGCTGGGGTGAAGCCCAGCTCCATCCCAGGCTCGTAGTCAACAAGAGGGGCCAGGTAGAGCAAGTCCTGGTGGCTGAGCTGCGAGAGCCGCACACGGTTGATGTTGCAGAAGGTGACGGCGGGGAAGGTCATCTCGGGGCTGTCCTCCTCGCTGAGCAGCGTGACGTGGTGGTACTCCAGGTAGTAGGCGATGCGGTCGGCCACCTGGTAGAGGAAGACGGAGAGGGAGAGGAGGAAGGCCAGCGCCCACAGAGCCTGCCGGGCGCCCAGGCTGCCTTCCACGAAGATGTGGCTCAGCCCGTGCAGGGTGCAGCTGCTGGCAAAGGCCACGAAGTCCGTGGTTGCCCCTGCGTCCTCCTCGTCCTCTTCATCCTCCTCCTGCCCATATAGGAACTCGTCTGCTTCATCTTCTCCCTTCCCAGTGGCTGCAGCGTCTTCTGGTGCTTCCTCACTGGAGAAGGAGATGGTGCAGAATATCTGGAGAGGCATTGCCCAGCCTGGGGGTCCCTGCTGTACTGTGGAGGTCCTGGCTCTGGTGTGGGGGTCCTGGCCCGTGCCCTGCCCCAGCCTGGTGGTCTTCAGTCAGTTCCTCAGCAGAGTGGGGCTGGGGAGAGCAGGGGAGGGGGAAGGGGCAAGTTCAGAAAGGAGAAACGGAGAAGGGAAAAGGAGTGAGGCGAGCGGGAGTGAGGGAGAGGAGCAGAGGGATGCTCGGAGCGAGGAAGGTATATCAGGAGCAGGAGGGGAGGAGGAGCGAGGGGCGGTTCCGCGGGCTCCCCGGGCCCCCCGGGACCCGCCGGCTCCGGCTGCCAGGACGGAGCAGAGACATCACCGGCTGCAGAGGCGCCGTGGGAGCTCCCAGTGCTGCCTGGGGACCCGAGGGGCTGCCGGGGGTGGGCACACGGTGTGTGCAGGTGTGCAGGTACCTGGCGCTACATCCCCGTGCCGTGCCCTCCATCCTTGCGTGGTCTGGTCCTGGCAGCCCAAGCGGCTGCTCCAGCCAGGCCCAGCCCTCCCTGCTGGGTCCCCGGCTGTCTCCAGAGCCGCCGTGTGCCAGGCTCTCTGCACTCGTCCCCAGGGCAGCTGGAGCCAGGGGTTTTCCCAAAATGCCTGTGAGACTGTCCTGGTTCATTGGTGGTCCAGGTGGGGAGAAGGATGCTGTGGTATCCTCAGGCTCCTATGATGATCTTCCTGCCCTGGCACTGCCCATCCCTGCAGGCTCATCCCCCTGTGCCGCGTGTGCACGTGAGAATCCGGCAAATCCAACATTCCCAGTGGTGTGAGGTCTGTCCTTCTCCGAGCAGGGCTGGTCTTGGCAGGATTTGGGGGCTGTCCAGGCAACGAGTCCTTCTGCAGAGCCCAGTCAGTGCTGGCCACGTCACCTCATGTTTTGGGTTCCAGTGGGGCACAGGGAGCCACCTCTTCCCTCAAGGAATGGCATCCAGGCCTTGTGCTGCTGAAGCAGGCGTGCTGAGGGTCCCAGGGAGCAGCTCTGGTGCAGGATGCTGGGATGGAGCTGCCGGGAGCACAAGCATCTCCTCTCTGCACAGCACAGCCCCTTCTCGTGGTTTGCTGATTTCCTGTACTCAGCACTTCATAAAAGCATCCAGAGACCACAGAGCAATCTCCAGCCCCATCCCGGCACCGGGGGAGAATCTAAATCCGGCAGCACTTGGATGTGCAGGGGTTGGATGGGAGCTTTGGGCTGGTGCCTGGATGGGAGCAGCTCACCCCAAGCCCTCAGTTCAGCTGCTGTCTCCTTCCCTGTGCACTCTGCAGGGCTCCCGGTCCCTGAGCACATCCCAGTGCACATGGACACCACAAACTGGGAGAACAAATCAGTCAGGAATCAGTAAAAATCTGATCTGATGCCAGTACAGTATCTGAGATCCCTGGGCAGGTGATGATGCTGGAACAGGAGCTGGGGATCCCTGCCAGGGGCAGTGATCCATGATGTGACAGTGGGGTGTCGTGTCCTGGGGCTCCCCAAGCTCAATATTCCCTTCAATAGGGCCCTTGTGTAAGAGGGACACTGGCAGATGCCACTTGGGGACCTGGGAGAAAGAATGGATGTGGATGACCTTGGGGACGAGTGCCACTGTATGAAATTTCATCAGGCCAAGATCAAGGTTGAACCTTTTGGGAGCATCCCAGAGAATCTGAGATGAAAACTCTTCCTGGACAAGAGAGTCAGGAAGATGAATTGGGTGCCTGGGAGCCACCAGGACATGGGGGCCAGCTCACAGGTGCCCTGTGCCTTTGGTGGGGATGAGCTGCAGGGCAGGGCTGTGACAGCATCAGGGCTGCTCCTGGCAGGGGGTTTGGAAGAGCTGGGCTGGTTCAGCCCTGTGGGAGCAGCCTGGGAACGCCCTGGGCTGGTCCCACCCAGGCTGGCACGGAGGATGCTCGGGACAGCGAGGAGCAGGTGAGGGCTGCCCGGGGTTGGGGGAGATTTCTGCTGCTCCCAGCTCTGACTCTGAGTTCCTGTGCCGTGGCTGTTGTGGGGAGAGAAGAAGGGAAACGGAATTAAGGAATTGCAGGTTGAGGGGGTTGTTCAGCCCCGGCAGGGCTCGGACAGGTGAGCGGTGCCGCCCGGGGCCATCGGGCAGTCCCTGACGGTGGGAGCGAGGGGCGGATCCGCTCCCTCGGCGCGGGGAGGTTTAATGTGTCTTCTTGGGAGCGATTGCAGCAGGAAGAGAGAGAGAAAGATGCTGTAATGAAAACATTCCATCATCGACTGGGGCCATTAACCTGCTTCGCTCGGCTTAAACAGCTCGCGGGATGCGCCGGGGCTGGATCCCAGCAGCAGGGCCCGGCTCCGGTTACCGCCACCTGTCCCAGCGCCGACACCCGAGCCGGGGTGAAGGTGACCGGGGACAGCCGCAGCCTGGAGCACGGTGGCACCAGCGCCAAGGGGAGCGCGTCCTGACCCCCAGATTGGGGTCAAAGTGCGGCCGTGTGTTGCAGGCAGGGGGGTGTCGTCCTGGTTTGTGCAAGTTTTGGAGATGCTGGAGGAGTCCTTGGGCTCGTTCCAGCTCCTCCCTCGCCGGGAGTTATTTTTACCCTCTCTCAGGTAAAGCTTTGGCGGGGGCGAGGGACGGGGGATGCTATAATTAGCCGTGACATCAGCCCCCGTGGCGGGTGCTGGGGTGATGCCGCCACACCCGAGCCGGCGCTGGGACCGGGGATGCTCCGCACCCTCCTCCCCGTCCCAGTGAGAGGTGTGGGATGGGAGGAGGAGATGGGTTTTTCCTGCCTCCAGCACCGTGTTTGGCCACTGTCCCGGGGCTGTTCGGCCCCGCTCGCTGCTCTGCGGCTCCTCACGGGCCTGGGAAAGGAGGTTTCCCGGAGCGGGGGAGCACGGAGGCGGCGGGGGGGGGAAGCGGGAGAGGGATTTGACGGCAGCAACAGCACATTTCACAGCCTGTCACGCTTTAATGGCAGAGGAGATCAAAGCCGGGATGGAGTTATTCATAGAGATAAACCAATCCCCGAGGAGGCGAGGAGAAAACAACATTGCAAGCGCTGTTATCCCAGGTCTCCGAGCCCCGGGGAGGCTGTCGCCGAAAGCGCCCCGGGAGCTGGACCCGCTCGGTTTTGTGACGGGCACTGCCCATCCCTGCCAAAGACTGGCTGAGCCGGGGTTGAGCTGCCCACGTCATCCCCGGGGGTGCCCGGAGGTCGGAGCTGGCTGCTAGGAAGGGGTGGGATGAGGGGTGGGATGAGGCAGCCAGAGCAGCACGTGCGGGTGGACATGTGGGGCAGATGGAGACCCCACGGCTGGGCTGTCCTGCTCCCACCACGCACCCGGGTGTGCCAATCCAAAGGGAGAAAAATGAGGTTTTCCACGTGTCTTGGCCCAGGGAGGTGCTTTGCAGCTCCCAGAGCTGCCAAGATGGAGGTGGAGGCACCGGCAGCGCTGCCACCGCCGCTCCGGGCGGGATGAGCCGCTCTGGGACGGCTCCAGGGCTGCAGATCCCTCCCTGACCCTGGCGAGAGACACAGCAGAGGCAGCCAAGCAAGGTGGGATTGCCCGGGCAGGCGGGATCTGTGCCGGGACTAATCCCGCACCCCTTATCAGATGCTGCCACCTTGCCTCGGCTCGCTCCGCCAGCCAAGCCGGGCGCAGCTTGTGTTATCCGGCCC